GTTCAAATGTGACCTTAGACCAAACACTTGACATTTACTACCTGTGTAACCCTGGGCAAGTCACTTAACCCCAATTGCCGAAAAAAAGGGAAGATGAAAAATATATTTGAGACCACTGAGCCTTTTACAAGGCCCTTGACAGTATTTCACAATAAAATTCAATGGCTTCTGATAACTTAAAGAGTAGTCTATACAGATGAAGTGGCTAGATTTGAAAAGTATCCAAAGCGAATTAAACAGGATGAACTAGGAGGACCAAAGACTCAGGATTAATGTAAATAATTTAAAATGATAAAATTAAGATGTAAAATGATCAATTATCAATTTTAAATGATCAATGATCAGTTATTTAAAAATTGAGGTTTCCTCATCCCAATCAATCATTCCAAGGAGGCCTGGGGGGTTAACTTGTTTAGGTCAGAAATGCTCTCAGCTGTTTAATTTCATTGAAAGGTGCTATACAAAGTCATTATGAAGGAAATTAAATGGAATCTCTTCCTTGACTCAGTTGAATGGAGGGTTAAAAATAAAGTTTAGGAGCAGCTAGGTAGTACAGTGGATAGAGCACCAGTCCTGAAATCAGGAGGACCTGAGCTCAAATTTGGCCTCAGACCAAACAACTGACACTAGCTGTGTGACCCTGGGCAAGTCACTTAACCCCAATTGCCTAAAACTTTTAAAAAAATTAAAATAAAGTTTAGAGTATAAATGCTAATAAAAATAGCTAGCATTTATACAGGGCAGCCAGGTGGTATAGTGGATAGAGCGCTAGACCTGGAGACAGGAGGATCTGCGTTCAAATCTGGCCTCAGACACTTACTAGCTATGTGACGCTGGGCATGTGTCACTTAACCCTGTTTGCCTCACTTCCTCATCTGTAAAATGATCTGGAGAAGAAAATGGCAAACCACTCCAGTATCTTTGCCAAGAAAATCCCAAATGGGGTAACGAAGAGTTGGATACAACTGAAACAACTCAATAAAAGCATTTGTATAGTACTTTAAGTTTGCAAAGAGCCTTAGAAATATCTTATTCTAGTCTCACAAGAACCATGGAATATAGGCATTAATTATTATTTCCATTTTACAGATGAGCTGAGGTTAAGTTACTTTTTCAGGGTCCCACAGCTAGGAAGATCTGATGCCAAATTGGACTTCCTGACCCCATGCCTATGGGTCTATCCACTGTGCCACCTAGCTGCCCAATGCATTCATTGAAACATATATTTATTTAACTTGAAGCATAGATAGAAATAGGCCTTTGATGAAAATGAACCTGAAAAGATACCTTGAATGTTGCCATTTCACTTTCCTCTCCTAAAAATATTATCCATTTAAAAGATTGAGATATTGCCTGATTGAAATCCTGAATAATCACACACGAATTATGATCCACCGGGCAAAAGCTGAATGGATGAAGATGTTCTGAACCATGTAGCGTTTAGATAATAACCCAAGGTGAATTTAGGCTTATCATTTTAGGCCTTTATAATTTTAGACCTTTAGATCAGTAGCTTTCCTTTGGCTTTGGACATGTTCAACTCTTACCTAAACTCACTTAGCTATTCCTTAAAGAATCTACAGGAAAAATTACATTGGTGAACATTGCTAACCATATCTACTTAAATACAAGTACAAAAGTATATAAGGCAGGGAGAAAACTATACAATGGAAGCCAAGCACAGAGTTCTGTAACACAATGAACAATTCATTGAAAGAACACAGTATGTGAAGTTACATAATCCTCATCAGCCTACCCACTTTTAACAAAAAGGGGCTGTTCCCCATATTATAAGGAGAAAAGTAGGTTTTATTGCAGAGAAGTAATTAATGTAGAGCTTATGAATCTGGACCTGGGTGCCATCTTTGGGAAGCTGGATTCCATTTCCTCAAGCCCAGATATAGGTGTTAACACAATGGCAAAGACCATTGCCTCTCTCCTGGACAAATTCTCTAAGGGGCCAGGCAAGGAAATTATGTTTTTTTGTGGATGACAGACCACGTTAACAAAGTTGTATCCTGGAGCGAGAGTGCAGGGTGGCGTAGAGATGTTAGAAGGTCAAGGGGGAATAAGTTAAATTGATTTCTCAGATAGTTCTTAAAGAGAATCCAAGATGGCAGATCTAAACTTAACCCTAAAACAAGGCAACATATAAACTGACCCAAATTTGATGTGCTGAGGCGATATTGTTAAAGCTGGGGAATAAGATCTGTTTTTAGACCCAGTTGATTATTTACACAGTACTATTAAGTAGGGAGCTAACAATGAATGCCTTTCAGGGGTTTGGGGACAGAAAGAATGTTAAGGCCAGTTTGGAAAATGCTACATTTGTTCAGTATCCTAATATTTCCAAATCAAAGTGTTTAATAGATTCTTCAGTGAAGTCTTAGAGGAACAGTGAGAAAATATAGTTTTGGATATATATATATACATGTATGTATGTTATATATTAGAGTACATTATTATTAGTATATGTTATATTAGTATATATGCGCATTGTGTATATTAGCATACGTATTATATGTATGTATCTACACACAGGTGTATACACATGCATGTATGTATATAGACACATATATTGTGCATGTGTGTATACATATGTCTGAACCTTTAACTTGTAACATAAAAAAAGTTAGAGAGAGTTTCTAGTTAATTAATCATTTCATTAATTACTGCTAGCAAATAATTTTAAAAAGGGGTCAATGGTACTCTTGAATGCCAGAGATTAACATGGTGGCTTCTGGATGATGGTATGCCCTTGGAAAAGTGGTTGTTCTCAACAGAGGGCAATCAACACCGATTGGTTAATAATTAATGAGAAGAATGAAGGGTATAATGAGAGGTGGAACTATTCTAATGAGGGGCTGGGGGATGTGAATGATTATGTCGCTCTTCCTCCCAAGACCACTCACACCCTTGGGCAATCTAGACAAGGTTTTCCCCCCCACCCAGCCTGAGTAGAAGTACACAGTGGCCTGGAATTCACCCAGATTAAATTTTTTGTAAAGTTTTTCAAGTTAGGTGGAGCAACAACTCAACCTGGATAAGATGGTCTAGGTGGGGTAAAGTGATGGGGAAGATAAGAGATCTCCTTGAAAGACTAGACTTTGAGTGAGGAAATAGGAAAAAGGAAAATAACCTGGATTTCCCAATATTTGGTTATTTAATAATTATGTCTCTTAAACTTCACCAATGTGAGAAACTCCTGGTGTGTAAATTCCTTCCATTGATGCAAAAGGGTAATTGCAATTTGTCTGCCACTTAAAGTCTTAGAGACTTGTTGGAGTCAGTGAGAGATTAAATGACTTTTCCACAGTGACAAGTCTTAAAGTCTTTGTTTCCCCTTTTTAATCCTATGCATTTCATGTTATGCTTTTAAAAACATGGCTATGAGCAGGGGTCCTTCAGTTTCCCCAGCACGAAGTGGTTCAATGCACAAAATGATGTGCAGAACCGTAGCAATAGATAATACTAACCTTTATCTGAGTCTTTCCTGTTTACAAAACACTTTTTTTTTTTGGTGAGGCAATTGGGGTTGCCCAGGGTCACACAGCTAGTGAGTGTTATGTGTCTAAGGCTGGATTTGAACTCAGGTCTTCCTGACTCCAAGGCCAGAGCTCTAGCCACTACTCCACCTAGCTACCCCTATGAAACACTTTGTAGACCAATTCTTAATCTTAGTGCCTTTCTTCTGAACCTTCTCCCAGTTCATCTTGTGTATTTCTCGTTTGTATGAATTTGTCTGCATGTTGCCTTTCCCATTAGCATGGGAGCTCCTTGAGAGCAGGGACTGGTTTGGGTTTTCTCTTTTTTAATCCTAGAATTTAGTGCAATGTCTGGTACGTAGCAGGTACGTAATAAATGCTACTTGATTGACAGTAAAACAGCCAGTTTTTTTTCAGATGCAGGACTTGAACCCTGGTCTTTCTCAGCTCCAGCTCTATTCTCTCATCTACCTTGCCTCACTCTCGATAAACTTCTCAGAGACTCAGTTTTCTCATTTGCAAAACAGGAATAACATTTTCTCTAGCGCAATGCCTTGCCCATGGTAAGCCATTTGTCTCTTGGCTCTAGGCATTCTCTCATGCCTGGAATGTTCTTCCTCCTCTGTACTGACCTCCCTGGCTTCCTTTAAGTCCCAACTAAAATCTCACCATCTACAGGAAGCTTTACCTAAACCCTCTTAATTTTAATGCCTTCCCTCTGTTAATTACATAACTACAGATGTAGGATAACCAGTGTAGAAAGTATATAGTAGGACTTTCATGACTCTTGTTAAATTTGATTCAATAAACATTAGAGTGTATGTATATATATATATATATATATACATATATACACACACACATATACACACATCTACATATATGTGTAGATACACAATAGGAATGTATATACATACACACATATATTATATATAGGTATGTATGCATATATACATAGTTATATATTATATACATATTATATATTATATATAGGGTTATATATACACACATACATGTGATTGACTAATTATTGTGAGCTCGCTTTCAAAATCACAAATTAATTCAAATCAAACTAAAACACTATGTGCTCATGTGCATGTATTCGTGCACACACACACACACACACACACACACACGCTGGAGATGGTCCTTTCCAAATTGTTACAAGGACCAATCCTCATTAAGGAAAAGCAGACCCAAATCTCAAAAATAGGAAAGCAGCTAATGAAGTTGGTGGTTACTCAGAATTCTTACAGGCTAATCTATTTGTAGATACTGTAGGAATCCCAAAGGATTGAAAGTAATAAAAAAAAATAAGACGTGGAGGTGGGGGGGGAGGCTGTGGCTAGGATGGCATTATTTATACACCTTACTTATAAAGTAGTGGTTTTTCCATAAGGGTGTGGGCGGTATGCTACAATAGTAAGGAGCATGGCTACATTATTTGAAAAACTTTTAAATTAGCCTTCCCTCTCCTCCCCTTCCCTCCCCCAAGGCTGCTCATCTGGTGGTTTAGTTACTTGCTTTGTTTTTACCTTGTGGGACTGAATAACGATGTGGTGACATTATTCACCAGGCAAAAGCTAGATGCCAGCTGAAACACACAGAATAAAGAATTCTTTATCTTGTACTGGAAATGTTCGTGCTGTGCAGAGCCAGAAATTTAAAGAAACTCTGCTTTTGTTTTTTCGACTCTTCCCTCCCCCATTCCGTCTTTTGTGAATTTCGAAAGCAGCTGGTGATTTCATGGCCAGAGAATTATGGAAACCCAATGTCTCTAAATATGTACCATTTGGAGAATGTAGTCATGGTTTTGAGTCCTATTTCTACAGGACTGGTGACAGCTAAAATCATTAGCATTTAGGATTTTTGCAGATTTGTCTTGGGATTCTTATATCTGGCAAAAAAGAAAAAAAAAACAAGAGAGAATCATGTCTTAATTAAGACTTCTTTCTATGCAGATATTTACTACCAGCCTATCGACAAAAGAACGTAAATTTTGAATTGTTTTTGTGGTCTGACAGTGATTGATTTGCACTCTCACCTCATCTCCCTTGTCACTGGGAACTTGCATTTTTAAAAGGGCCGGCCTGGGGTTAAGGGGATAGTCTGTTTTCACAGAACAGAATGAAGCAATAAACTGGCACATGGACCAAAGTCATGCCTGATTAATTAGTACAGTGTACAACTCAAATGAGCTAACTTAGTTACTCGAATACATGTGATTGCTTTTCTTGATGCCTTGAGCATGTGATAATTTTAAAATTGAAAATTACCCTTCATGAAGCTGTCCTTGAAGGGCATACTTTGTATAAAACTTCTAAAATGATTTTATTCCACAGAAACAGTGCGTTAGCTCGAAACATCAGTTCTCAGACATATGAAGGAGAAAATAAAACAGTTCAAAATACAACCAGGATTGTTTTTCCTGAATTTTATGTATTCCACTGCATTTTTTTTCAAACTGGTAATAGTTTATTTTTTTAAATATTATTTTATTTTAAAATGTATGTGGAGTCAGAGTACTGAGGTACAAATCTCTCTGTTCCTTACTCTTACGACCCTGGAAAAATAATTTAATTTTTCTGGCTCTGTTTTCCTCATCTGAAAAGTGAGGGAGGTTGCTCTAAGTCTAAGTTAGTCTAAGAACTAGGGTTTTTTAACAGCTAGTAAGTACTAGCTGTCTGTCCCTGAGCAAATCACTTCACCGCTCATTGTCTCAGTCTCCTCGGCTGTAAAATGGGGATAATAATAGCACCTACCTCCCAGGGCTGTTGTGAGGATCAAATGAGGTAATATTTGTAATGCACTTAAAACAGTACCTGAAACATACTAAGTGCTGTATAAATGCTATTTATCTACCTATCTATCACACAGCTAGGAATTATCTGGGACTAGATTTGAACTCTGGTCTCCTTAAACCCCTCCCAGCACTCTATCCACTGCTCCACTTAGCTACCCCTTGAAAGGAGGGGAAGTGAGGAGGAACTGTATGTATCAGGCATGAGGGTCAGTCAGTACTAATTCGTGGAGATGGGAGTCTAGTGTGTGAAGAACAGAGAAGACCAGTTTGTCTGGGCCACGGAGTAGGTCAGGAAATGTATGTATAATGAGGATAGAGAGAGATATTGGAGACAGGTTTTAAGGGACTCTAAAAGCTACACAGAGTTTATATTTTATTCCACAAATAACAAGGAGCCGCCTGAGTTTAGGGAAATGAGGTGGTCAAACCTCAATTTAAGGAAAATCACTTTGGTAGCTGTGTAGAGGTTGAATTAGGGTGGGGAGGGGCTTGGGCAGGGAGACTGAAGAGGAGGTTATTGTAATAATCTTGATGAGAAAAGTGGTGTGTGAGTAGAGAGAAGGGGATTGGATGTGAGGGATGGGACCATAGAAACAGCAGCACTTGGCAACTCATTTCATCCCTGGGGTAAGGGAGAGTGAGGAGTCGATAAGCTGGGCTTACAAACCTGGAAGAGTGGAGGGATGGAAATAGAAATAGGGACATGCAGCGAGGCAGGCAGCGAGGCAGCTACCGAGGCTGAATTTGAACTTGGGTCTTCCTGACTACAACTCAGGGACCCCAATTACTGTGACCCCTAGCTGCCTCTGAGTGAATGTGCTTCCTTAAAAGGTGGTGCTCAGGATCCTAGTACTACAGACATAGGCTAACTGGGATAGAGAGCACAGTAGAATTGTCCTGACTCCAGGGACATGTGATTCAACAAACATTTATTAAGTATCTCTTACTGGGGAGACACTGGACCCAAAGACAAAAACAAGCAAACACCTCCCTGCCCTCAAGGGGTTTACCTAAGAAGAGTGAACATTTATATAGTTAATTGGTTGGTTTTTCATTCTTGAAGTGGAGCAAAATGTTAGAGTCAGGTTCCAATTTGTGGCTGTTCAGATCGCCAGTAACATTTTACATGCTTTCTATGGTTTATGAAAGCATTTTGGAGATCACCTCCTTTAATCCTCCCCAAAACCACAGCTAGGTGGAGCCATAGAAAATAGAGCTCCAGGCCTGGAGTCAAGAAGACTCATCTTCCTGAGTTCAAATCCAGCCTCAGACACTTACAGCTGTGTGACCCTGGTCAAGTCACTTAACCCTGTTTGTCTCCGTTTCCTCGTCTGTAAAATGAGCTAGAGAAGAAAATGGCAAAACCACTCCCGTATCTTTGCCAATAAAATCCAAGATGGGGTCACAAAGTCGGACGCAACCAAGAGACTCAACAACATATGTGTGTATATGTACAGATACAGGTATATGTATCTATACATATCTATATAAGTATGGATGTGTATGTGTGTTTACAAGTCTGTTTAAAAATAATTGTGAGAGATAGACGATTGATTGGTAAATAACCCCTCTCAGAATCTAGAAGTTCAAGTTTTAAAAAAAAATTATGGCCATGGCATGTGGCCATGGTACTACCAATCATACCATGGCGGTAAATGAGGATGTGGGTCACAGGATTTCTAGTTTGCACCACTCCAGGGTTGATAAGGACTGACAGGTTAAACAGAAAGGTGGGGAAGCTTGCTAAGGCAGGAAAGAAGAGTACTGGAGGAAAGAGAACCCAGATGACTAGATTTCTCAGCCTTCTGCTTTTTGCTGGGTATTTCATATCTACTTTTCTCTCTGAAATGCTGGTCATCCACAATGAAGAATCCTTGATGTCAGGACCTCTGTCGAATATATCCTTATACACCCTTTTCATCCCCCCCACTCCCCAGTATAACACTTTACTGACAACAAACACTGATGTTTATTGTTGAATTGAAATCACTTTTGAAAACAAAACCAAACCTCATATTTCAGTGGATCTGGGATCTTATAGCTGTGGCAAGGACCTCCATTAGGGCAGATGGCTCTTCACCCTGAGATGTTCTGGTCCACATTCTTCCTTAGCAGAAGGCCCAACTCACTCGCTGTTTGATGAATGCTTGCTGGTAGAACTTTCCATGTTCACCTGTAAGAGCAGGAAGTGCTGGATGTCTCCCTACAGGATGAGCACAGATCTTTTTTTTGCTATTTACTTTCTTAAAGATATATTTTTACTGTATTTCTTGTGCATAAGCTATCAGAGGAAATATATTACAGCCTGATTAGGCACCACCTCATATGTCTCTCAAACACTCTTTGGGTTCCCATGAAATTTTGATTCTTTCAAATTCAAAAGGATGCCCTGGTTTTGCTTAAATTAATATTTAGAAATAGCTGCGGAAGTATTCTAAATTTCAGACTCCATCAATTAATATTATTGATTTCAATATTTGCCTTCAAAGAATTTCTAAGGCTTGATGTTAGAAAGTTCCCCCCCCCAACCTCCTTTTGGTGCTAAACTCTTTGACATTACAGTTGCTAATTAACAGCTATGAATTCAATTCAATAAGTATTTTTTCATGCACGTACCATGTGCAGTACACTTTACTAAGAGAGACATAAAGTGAGTTTAGCCTAGCTGGGAACAAAGAGTTCTCTGGGATAAGGTATGTCACCTCAATTTTCTATGTAAATCTACCAACAAAATGAGGACGGGACTGAGACAATGGAACACTTTCCCCAGTTTACCTGCTAGCTTTTTTTCATTTGCATAATAAGTGGATTCGCTGAGGTTGGCCTAAAGGTTTTTTAGGGGCGTGGTTCTCACTTAAGAGTTCAAAAGTTTTTGAGTTCAGAGACTAGAGAAACTTGTATTCCTTTTATTCCTTTCTGTTTCTGAGGGTTGAACTAGGTAGCAGCAATGGGGGGAGAGCTCTTACAGGGGCAGGTTTTGGCTTAATAAAAGGAAAGACTTCCTACCAAGTGCAGGTCTCCCAAAATTGTGTGGGCTACCTCAGGAGGTGGTGAGCTCCCCCTTCCTGGAGGTCTTCCAGCTGAGGATGAATGACTGCCTGTAAGGGATGGCTTGGCTTTCATCGCCTCTCAGAAGGAGTGTTCTAATACTGAGATTCCATAATGTACAGAAAGGAAGCATGGCGGAGCACAGTCAAGAGTCTTAGGTACAAATTCTGGGGTCCAACACTCACTAGCTGTTTGTTATTCAAAACTCTTTTCTCAGCCTTTCTGAGCCTCAGTTTCCTAATTTGTGAAATGAAGATAGTTACCGCACAGGGTTGCTTTGAAGAAAGCCCTGTGCTAAATAGCTAGATAAACAAGTTAATAACACTCGAGAAACTGATGCTAAGTGACTTGTACAAGACTGCCCATTTAGGGACGCAGGATGGGGTTAGAGGTTAAAGCACTGGGTTTGAAGTTGGAAGAACCTTAGGGATAATCCTATTTCTGCCACGCTTAGTAGATTTGTAACTGTAGATAATATCTTCAATTTAGCTTCAACTTCCTTATCTATGAAATGAAATGAGGTGTTGGGTTAGAGGATAGATAGGGTCTCTTCTAATTTAAAATTTTATGATCTTAAGAACTGGAGTCAAAACTCAAACCCAGGTTTTCTTATTCCAAAGACAATTTTCTTTCTCTTAGACCTGAATCTAACACATGGAAACAAATTTTCATTGATAAAGAGGGTCCAGACTCTCATTAAGTGATATATGTATGTAAGCCCCAGTCCCACATAGAAATGAGCCAACTTCTGTGCTGAAGAAGAGAAGAGAACGGAATTTACACTCTTCAGCTCTCCCTTTACTTTCTCTATCCCTCAATTTAACTCAAATTTGGATCTGAGCCTTGCTCCTGGGATCTTGACCCCAATGGTACTGAACAATCAGACTAATTAAGTTTCAAGAGATTAACTATGTCTTATTGTATTTTTAATTTGGCCTTTGAACCAGAGGTCTAAAGACACTCCACAGATAAGAACGTAAACTCCTTGCAGGCAGGGGTTTTTTTTTTCATTTTGTCTATCACAGTCCCTAGGACTTAATAAATACTTAACAAATATTTCTGAAATTGGATTGAATTATTAGTTAATCTGATGTAATGAACACTTGATTGAGAGACAAAAGAGTTGGCTTTCAGTCTTGTCTCTGCCATGTATGAGGTATGACCTTGGGCAATCCAATAAACATTTATTAAATTCCTACAATTTAAGGTGCTAGGCACTGGGGAGAGAATTCAATTCAACAAGTATTTATTAAATTCTTGTAAGTTAAGGTATGAGGAGGGGGGAGGAGAGGGAGAGAAAGACGACTTTCTCCTACAGTACCTGCCCTCAAGGAGTTTATATTATACTTGGGATGGGGGTGGGGATTAAATCCATAAATAACAATAACAATTATAATAGTGATGATAAGAGCTAACATTTATGTAGGGCTTTAAGGTTTGCAAAGTACTTGTATCAATTATGTCGTTAGATCACTTAACAACCCCAGGGAGGTAGGTGCTATTATTACCATCATTATTTTACAGATGAGGAAACTGAGACCCAGTGATATTAAGCTTCCCTTGCCCAGGGTCATATAGTATCTGTGCCAGGATTCAAACCCTAATGTTCCTGCCTAAGTCTGGCATTCTATCTTCACAAACACAAGCACATCATCTCAGTAGGGTTGATCCACTTCTTGGAATCCCCTAGCTACCTAGGGGTGCTGAACTCTACAGACGAGGGTTTTCTTGACTCCTCTCCCCCACTTGTTGGTGACATCTCCCCCAAATTACTCTGTGTTCATGTTGTCCACCCCCACAGTAATGTACTGTAGGTCTCTTGAAGCCAAGGACTATGGCTTAATTCAGGTTGAATTGAATCAATTTGTCCAAGGTCACACAATTGTTACAGAGTGCCAGAGGCAGGATTCCAATCAGAATCTCTTCTGACTCTAGCTCCAGAGCTCGGACCATCACATAATGTGGCTGCTTTTCCCAGATAAGTAAATATAAGATAAATGGGCAACTCTTAACTCACCCTCCCTTATCCTCCCTGGGCTGTTTTCACATGGGGAAAATGAGGCCCTTGGACTAAATGATCTCTCATATGCTTTCCAATTCTAACATTCATTTCTCTGGTTCATTATAAGATGTCCATCCAATCCCCATCGAAATATCCCTTTTGCCAATAAATGGGAAATAAAATGGGTTTCTGAATGCCCGAAGGTACATGACCAAAAGAAGTCTCCACAGTTAAAGCATGACTTTAATTCAGTCAAAGGTCATTTTTGCCTGAATTATGTCTTTGCTTCCCTGTAGTCTAAATTTGGTAAGTGGAAAGACCTGGCTTAATCATGCTCCAAATTTGTTTTTTTATTTTAAACAATGGACAATTAGAAGGGATCACTGGTGGGGAATATGGGTATTTTCCGCTGCTACTACTGAGGAACCTCTACTGATTAAAAAAAAAACGATAGCCTTCATTGGAGCCTAAAGGCATATCTATAATAAAAAATAGTTGGATGAGATGTTTCCAGTTTAAAATTCAACTAGAGCATTGATTGACTCCTGTGAAAGCTGGCCAGCTACCCAAGTTAATTTAAAACTCAAAAGGGGCCAAGGTCTAAAGTTCTTTTATTTTTTTGGTGAAGTCCAGTTTGTTCTACTTCCACTGAGGAAGATCCTGCTATTTTTATCTCCCATTTCCAAATCCTACTCTATTCCCATTGCTTGTGCTTCCACCTCATGAGGAGTTAAGTGTTACTGGTCAAATGTTAAAACGTTGTAAGTTTTTGGAGAGGGCAACAGGGCAATATGGTGGCCTTCCAATAATCTCATGAGGGAATTCTGCAAATGTTACTCTTCCCATTTTAGAAATGAGGAAACTGAGGCTAAGAAGGTTAAATGACTTGCTTTTGAGGATATAGCCAGTAAGTGTCAGGGCTAGGATTTGAACATGGCCTCCGCTGACTTTAAGGCCACTGCTCTTTCCATTGTAGTATACAGGAATACCTCATTTTGTCATGCTTTGCTTTATTTCGCTTTGCAGATATTACAGGTTTTTTTTTTTAAACACATTGAAGGTTTGTGGCAAGCCTGTGTTCTGTTGGTGCCATTTTCCCAACAGTGTGTGGTCACATCATATCTTTGTGTCACAGTTCGGTAATTCTCACAATATTTTAGACTTTTTTATTATTATTATTATTATAATATTTGTTAAAGTGATCTGCTATCAGTGATCTTTGATGTTATTTTTGTAATTTTTTTGGTGGCACTAACATGCTCATGAGTTGTTGAACTTAGATGATAAATGTCCTGCGTGTGTGTGTGTGTGTGTGATGACTACTCCACTGACTGGCTGTTCTGTCTCCCTCTTGTTGGGCCTCCCTATTCTTTGATATACAACAATATTGAAATTAGGCCAATTAATAACCTTACAACGGCCTCTAAGTGTTCAAGTGAAAGGAAGAGTCAATTGATGCCCCAACCTTCATTGCTGTTTTATTTTAAGAAATTGCCACAGCCCCCCCAGCAACCACCATCTTGATCGTTCAGCAGCCATCAGCATTGAGACAAGACCCTCCACAAGCAAAAAGATTACTAACTGATGAAAGCTCAGATGATGGTTAGCATTTTTTTAGCCATAAAGTTTTTTTAGTCAAGGTATTTACATTTTTTAGGACATAATACTATCGTATACTTAATAAGACTTCAGTATAGTGTAAACATAACTTTTATATGCACTGGGAAAACAACAGAATTTGTGTGACTGGCTTTATCTCGATGCTTACTTTATTTCGGTGCTCTGGAGCCAAACTTGAAATATCTCTGAGATATGCCAGAGATCTCTGTGGTCATTTATAACTCTAAAACCTATGAGCCTACATAATCAAGCATAGTTGGCCTCCATGGGATGAAACATTCCAATCTTTGAAGGTAAAGTTATCTCTTCAAAACTGATTTGTAAGCATTAAGGTGCTATATAAGCTATGAGTCATTATTATCAGTAGCTAAATGGACAAGACCCAGAAATCTGTAAAATGAGGGTGCTAGATTATATGATTCTACAGCATATGACTCCAATGCCAAGGGAAACCTGGACATTCCTGTCCCTCAATTTTCCCTTCCTGGATAAATTCAATTTCCTTTGACTGGTAGGGAAGTCATGCTCTCCATTAACATTGAGGAGAGGCACTGTGAGCATCTAGTCAGAAGACTCAAGGGGATCAATGATGAGGCACCTTCTGGGGGCTTTTGCAAAGGGTAAAACGATATGATAGAAACTCAGACTTATTATGTAGTGATTTAAGGTTTGCAAAGCATTTCTCTCACAATAGCACTGATAGGGACTGCAAGTATTAATTTTTTTGGCCTAGAATGACTCCAATGGTTAGTACAGTGCTTGTCACATAATAGGTGCTAAATAAATGCAAATTGATTGATAATATATAAAGAAAGACAAACACTTGGTGATCTCCCCATGTTCAGGAGCTCACATTATAATGGGGCAGACAACATGCATATATACTGGGTAAGATTAGTAAATTCATAAATTATACTCTTAGGAAGAGTTGCCTAGACACTGAGGAATTGTGTCTCATCCAAGTCCACACAGCAGGGATGGTCAGGAATAGGACTTAGACCTAGACTTTACTTAGGAGTAGATTTAGTTCACTCTTCTGAATCAAGCAACACTTAATGAGTACCAACTATGATCCAGATATTATGCTAGGCTTTGTGGCTACAAACATAAAAAAAAAAGGTTCCTGCCTTCAGGAAATTTATATTTTATTGGGAGACAAGTCTTTTTTTTTAAATTTAACATTTTATTTTTTCCCTAATTACATGTAAAAACAATTTTTAACTTTCACTTAACATTCACTTAAACATTTTTTGAATTCCAAATTCTCTCCTTTCCCTCCCCCCAAATTGAGAAGGTATGCAATTTGATATAGGTTATACATGTGTAGTCATGCAAAAAAAAAAAGAAAAAGAAAGAAAATATATGCTTTGATATGTATTCAGACTCCATCAATTTTTCTCTGGAGAAGTGGATAGCATTTTTCCATCATAAATCCTTTAGAACTGTCTCGGATCATTATCTTTCCAGGTTTTTCTCAGAGCATCTTGCTCATCATTTCTTACAGCACAACAGTATTCAGTCACAAACATAATACAACAATTTGTTTAGCCATTCCCCAACTGATGGGCATCCCTTCAATTTCCAATTCCTTTGCCACCAATAAAAGAGCTGCTATAAATATTTTTGTACATATAGGTTCTTTTCCTTTTTTTTTTTCTAATCTCTTTTGGTATACAGACCTAGAAGTGGTATTGCTTGTTCATAATTCCAAACTGCTCTGCAGAATGGTTGAATACTACTTCATCAACAATGCATTTGTGGGAGACAAATCTTACACTTTATTCCCTCCACACACTCTATGATTAAACCACATCGGGCTAGATGTTCTACTAGAGGACTATCCATTCCTGGCTCTGCCGACCTGCATCTTGGGTTCCTTCCCAGCTTCCTTCAAGACTTAGTTCAAAGCTTACCTTTTTCAAAGGGGCTTTTCTTGGTCCCACACAAGCTGCTACTGTCTCTCCCTCTGGATTACTCTGCATGTATATATTTTGTGTATACTAAGTTATTTGGGGTAGCTAGGTGGCAAAGTGGATGGAGTGCTGGGCCTTGAGTCAGGAAGACTCATCTTCCTGAGTTCAAATCCAGCCTCAGAGACTTACTGTTTGACCCTGGGCAAGTCACTTAACCCTGTTTGCCTCAGTTTCTTCATCTGTAAAATGAGCTGGAGAAGGAAATGGCAAACCACTTCAATATCTTTGCCAAGAAAACCCCAAATGGGGTCAGAGTCTGACTCGACTGAAACAAATGAACAAAAAAATTTTTGTTTGTCACCCTCATTAGAATATAAGCTCCTTGAGGGCAGAGATGACTTTTGCCTTTTCTGGCATCCCCGGCTTGCTTCTGATCACAACTAAAATCCCATCCTCTGGAAGACGCCATTTCTTAAGCCCTTTTAATACTAGTGCATTTCCTTTGTTTATTATCTCCAATTGATCCATTTATCCAATTGATCTATTTGTCTTGTTTGCACATAGCAGTTTGAATGTGGTCTCCCTAATTAGACAGTGAGCTCCTTGAGGGCAAGGAGTCTATTTTACTCTCCTTTGCACCTTGTGCTTAGCATAGTGTCTGGCATACAACAGGTGCTTAATAAATGACTGGCCACGGACTTTCTTTGTACCCCTAGCAGTGATCGATTAATAAATGCTCAAAGCCTTTCTCTGGACCCCTCAGTCCTTAGAAATTGCCTGGCACATAGCGGGCACTTAATAAACTTGCTGGCTGACCTTCTTTAGACCCTCAGCGCTTGCCACAGCGCCTGCTTAATAAATGCTTTGTGACTGACTCAGGCTATTAGTCCTGGCCCTGCGGCACCCTGCTGAGATGCTCCTAATTATGACAATTGAGGGAGGCCACTGGATACAAAGGATTCCCAGCTCGGCCTCAAGGACTCACTATTTCTCTGGGTGACCTTGGGCAAGTGACTGCCCTGCTCCGAGAGCCAACTTTTCTTTCACTCTAACGCGAAGGGGTTGGGCTCCGTCTCCAGGTCTTCACGCGGGTTCCCCATTGGGCTCCCCCCCCCCCGGTCCTCCCTAGGGCCCGGGCCCTCCCTCCTCAGCCCTATGTCCTCCAACCCCTGCCCAAGCTCGGGGTCAGGAGGCGAGAGTCCGTCCCCTCCCCCGCGCTCCGGCTCGGGCCGAGGGGCGGGGCCGGTCATGGCACCGCCCCCCTCTGGCACCGCCCCTTCTGAGGCTGCCGGCCGGGTCCGCGGGAGTCCCACGTGCACCCCTCCAGCTCCGGCTTCAGCTCCGGCCGCAGCCTACGCCTCACGCTCTCCTTCCTGTCCGGCCCCTCCGACTTCCGGCAAAGAATCCCCCAGCGCGACCTCCCTGAACCACTCCCCCAACCCCCACCTGCTTTCGGGGAACACCGTCTCCTCCACGCTTTCCTCCTACTACAGCGTGACCGACCTTTGGGTTTAGGAGAGGGGTGTCTCCTTTTGAGGGTCAGCGAACGAGGGGAACGCACGAGCGCGCGCTCGGGAGAGGTATCCTTCCGCCGCCGCTCGTTCCCTGGCGCCCCCCGCGTTCCGTTCGCGGCAGGTCCCCTCCGGGCCCCCGTCCCCCTTCCCCCTCCCGGCCGGTCCTTCCCTCCTCCCTCCTCCCGCCTCAGACTGTTTTGGTAGCAACGGTGGCGGCGGCGGCTCCCGGCAACTCGGTGTCGTCGGTCGGTCGGGCGGCCTTCCCCGCCCCCGACCCTCCCCACCCCGCCCCTTCCCTTACCTCGGGCTTGGGCTCGCGGCTGCCGGCTCCTCCTCCTCCTCGTCGGTCTCGACCTCGGCCTCCTTCTGCTGCGCGGCCCCGGCCTCGCTTCTAGTCAGGCGCCCGGGCCCGGCTCTGCCCCCGGTGTATGGGCTGGTCAGCAGCATGTCCCTGAAGCCGCAGCCCCCCCAGCAGCCTCCGCAGCCGCAGCCTCCGCAGCAACCGCAGCCGCCGCCGCCTCCGGCCCGGCGCTGCCCCAGGCCCAGGCCCAGCCCCCCGCTCAGGCCCAGCCCCCCGCGCCCGGGGCCCTGGCGGCGGCGGCGCCGGGGGGCGCCCGCAAGCCCGGCGGCCTCACGTCCTCGGCCTCCTCGACCTCGGCCTCCTCATCGTCGGCAGCCGGCGGCGGCGCCGGTGGAGGGCGGCAGAACCTGGGCAGGTGGGTGCGGGGGACCCCCAGCGGGCTGGGATGGGGGGGCACCCCTGCGCGGGCGGGGGGATGGGCCGGGCCCGTGGGGCAGCGGAGCCGCGGCCGCAGAGGCAGCCGCAGGAGGAGGGGGCCCAGAGAGGCTGCGCAGGGGCCCCCCCGGCCCGGCTGTCCGGCCCCGCAGTGGGGGGAGGGGGGCCGGTCCCCTCGAAAATGCCCCGTGCCCGAACGGGCCGCCGATGGCCCCGGCTCCTCGCCGTGGTGGGCCCGCGGCCGGAGCCTCCCAAGGGCACTCGGGGCCCCTTGGTGGCGCCTGGTCATCCTCGGGCCTGGCTGGCCCTGGCCGAGCCTTCAGGAGACATCTTGGCCTGGCGACGTGGGGAGCGGGCCCCCGGCATAGGTAGGGTCGGTCCTGGCCCCAACTTAAAAATCCAGACCCACACCTGGTTGGGAAAGGGACAGTCACGGACTCTCGTTTCCTTGGCCCTGCCCCGTTTTCTCCTGAACTCTTCCGGGAAAAAAAAAAAAGACAAACCCCGAGCCCTTCGATGTTGGGGAGAACTGTTTCAAGGGATTTACAATCCCTCATTGAGATAAGGAAGCCGATTCAAATGAATGGGTCTATAGCTATTCCGAGGGCGATTCTGAGTGCCTTTTAAACTTCTGAAAAGTAGGGCTCAGGTATTTAAAAGTTTTCCAACATTATCCTAATAACAGACATTTACTTATATGGCATTCCAGGTAGCAGATTAAAAATGAGTCTGCTACATCCGAGGCGTCGATCTTGCCGAATATTTATAACCGAACTGGGACGGATAGTGGGAAGAGCCCCCCAGCCGGTTGTTGTGGTGGAGCTTCTGTTATCAGCTGTAAAGTGGCCTCTGGAGGCTTGGACCAGATGACCTCAGAGATCCCTTCCAGCTTCAGAATTCTGTTAGGTCGCCTGACCGACTGCCTCCAAGTAAAGTGGGAAGGCCACAGCAGATCTGTTAGACAAGCGTAGTGCATTGGATTCCTTCCCGCTATGGGGAGGGTTGTATCGTAAGAGAGTTTAATACTGTTTCCCCCACTGCGGCTCTTATCATAAGATCCTTAAAGTGGCCCATCATTATCGAAAGCTGGTTTTTAATTTCTCCTTACTTCAGAACCCTTCTGGTCCCCATCCTTTCAAGCACTACATAAGATGTCTTTTGGAACATGTTGTCCCGGAGTGTGTGTCATGTGAATTTTTATCCTTGCTGCGGGCCTCTTATTAATGCTTTTAGAATCGCCTTCACTTTCAACATTAGCTGAGTCCTTTTCTAAAGCTGGAAACCAAATTTCCTAGAGCTGTTTTGCTATTTCTGTTTCATCTAAGTTGGAGATGAAAGTGGGGAGGACATCCCTCTAGTTAAAAAGATCACCTAAGTTTGACCTTTGTCCACAGTAAGTAAAAAGGCAAAGTATGATAATTAGTTCATTATAGGCTATTGTCCATGAAAGTGAAAACTTCATTTTTGAGAAAGGGTTTTTTGTTTTTCCATTGGAATGGCTTTAATTTCTACTGTCCTGTTTGTTCCTTCACAGCACAATATGTTATGCACACAGTAGACTCTTAAATGTCCCTTTTATTTGTTGTCTGAGACCCCTGTTCTGCTGACTACAGTTGTGCGCATAAAAGGTGGCTTCTCTTTAGTGTGGATTTTGAGTAGTTTGCAGAATCCCTTAGGGGGTAGTTTCAAAAGTGCAATCAAAACGATTATTTGAGTACTTACTGGCATGTTCAGAATTAAGTGCTTTTGCCTGTTATCTGGTTCCATAGATTTTTTTAAATTAAAAATTTGATGCCATTTGTATTTACGTAAGTCATTTCCTACATTTAGTCTTTGCCTTCTCTTCTTCCATCATCCCCTTTCCGTGTTACTAAGAGGCAAAGGTCACAGTGACTACTTAGAGGGTATTCAACATTCTGTACCCTTAGTCTCCCACCTCCAAGGGAATCAGTCAGTTAATAACTGTTCGGCACCTACTATATGCCAGGCACTGGGGTACAAGGAAGGCAGAAGACAGTCCCTGCCCTTAAGGCACTCAGTCAGATGGAGACTACATAGAAATAACTGTGTACAAACAAGATGTATACAGGTTGAATTGGAGATACTATCAGAGGTAAGGCATGGTGATTAAGGAGGTCTGGGAAGGGCTTCTTGCAGAAGTTGAGACTTTAGTTGAGATGGGAAGCCAGTAGGTGGACACGAGGAAGAGCGTTCCGGGCATGGGAGACAGCCAGGGAAAATGCTCATCGTCTGGAGAGGTGGGGGAACGGGAAGCGGGGAGCGATAGGGGTGTCTTGTGAGAGAGCAGCCAGGAGGCTGGTGCCACTGGATCTCAGATATGTGGATCGGAATCAGGCATAAGAAAAATGGAAAGGTAGTAGTGGGCCCACTTGTAGAGGGCTTTAAAAGCCAAACAGAATTTTATATTTGATCTGGAGGCCTGAGGGAGCTAGTAGAGTTTATTGAAAGAAAAGGGAAGGCACTAAGGCTCTTCGGTGGTGCAGTATTAGAGTGCTTGGAGTCAAGCAAGATGTGAGTTCAAATCCAGCCTCATACACTTGCTATGGACCCTATCAAATCACTTAGCTTCTGTTTGCCAAGGTCTCCTCATCTGTAAAAAGGGGATAATAATAGCACCTCCCTCCAAGGGTTATTGTGAAGATCAAATGAGATAATAATTGTAAAGCACTTAGCACAATGCCCAGTACTTAGTAGAGACCCTTAAATGCTTATTCCCTTCTCCTGCTCTTAGTTTTCCGATTTTAATTTGTGATGTATCTTATGGTACATTAATACTTTATTGCATTTGTATGTTACACACCCACTTTGCAGTTTTTTGCCACCACAAAAGGTGAATATATCGGTGACAATAGGAACTTCTTTTCTGTTTGACCTCTTCGGTATATGCCTGGCTGTGGGCTCTCTGTGTCGAAGGGCATAGGCTTTATTCTTCAATTTGGCAGAGTAACTGGCTTGAGGATGTCCAGTGTGCTATGTAAGTCTCTGGGAACACTGAAATTTTAAGGTCCTTTTAAAATGTTTTTACTTCTGCTTTCCCATTTCAAGGTATATTTTTAGTAGTTATAACCCACCAGCAAGTAGTTTTTTGTTTTGTTTTGGGCTTCATTTGAAGCTTTTTGGGGGGAGTCTTTTTGTAATTCATGGCATGCCTGAGACAGCGAATTGGTTAAAACAGCTCACCCCTGGGGTTGATGGATTTTTCATGAAGGGCACAGTAATCTTCTGTATACCAAGTAGTTTGGCTTAGGGATCCCTTTGCATACAGCATCTTTTCTTTGAGTGGATTTTTGTCTTCAGTACTTTTAATACTTCCTTTTCTTTGGAACTTGCAACTTCAAAAATAAATACTAAGAAGTGTCCTAGCACATTAGAAAATTATTTTTTCTTTTCTTTTAAATATTGGTGAAATTTATGTATTTAAATTAGACAAATTTTAAAATGGTTGAAAGCTGCCTCTGTTTATGTCTTTTACTCCCACCTTGTTAAAGCATGCTACCTTATTTGCTACAAACAGTGTTAGGGTGCCATACCCATGGTTGTGATTTTCCTGCTTGTGTGGTATTCAGATGTAAAGATTAGTCAAAAATTAACTGGTACTTAGATAATGAAGGGTACAAATGGACCGCAAATTAGCAAAGGAAATGTTGATGCTTCTCCTAAAGGAATAGGATGTGGTAGCTGTAATTTCCATCATTTAACATTCAAATGAATTTTCATTCTATGCAACTAAAAACTGCTTCATGCACAATTGGGAAAAGAACTAAAACATTTATGTACTAAGTTTCTTAACAGTTTCACCAGGTAGAAAAAGACCATTCAGCTATAATAGAAATTAGGCTGTCCTTATCCTTTTGTCCATATTATGGATGATGGTACTTAATCCATAAGCATTGATTTGTTCTTATCTTCTGACAGATGCCATGCCATGTAAGTAATGGGGATAGGAAGAACATCAAAAACACAAAGACAGTCCCTCCGAGAGGGAGGTTACCTACCAAAGGTAGGGGGGGAGGTGCACAGTGAATGGAGCATCAGGCCTGGAGGCAGGGAAACCTGAGTTCAAATCTATCCTTATGTACTTACTGCTTGTGTAACCCCAGGCAAGTCACTTTTCCTCAGTTTCCTCTTCTGTAAAATGGGGATCATAATGGCACCTGCCTCCCAGAGTTGTTGTGAGGAGAAGAGGAAATAATTGTAAGTTGCTTAGCATAGTGCCTGGCACATAGTAAATGCTATATGAATGTTAACTATTATCATTTTTATTAACAGAGGAGATAACATGTAAATAGGTAGGTACAAATAAGACAGCATATGTGTCTTAAAGGGGAAGGCTCAAGTGGATTGAATGAAGAGGGAAAGCTCACATAAGGCTCCCTACAGAAGGTGGCCTTTGAACCGAAGGAAGCCAGAGATGTCGGAGGTCAGGAGTGAGGAGGAAGAATGCTATAGGTAAGGGGACAGCCAGTGAAAAAGCAGAGACTCGTGATGGAGTGATGTGTGGGAGGAACAGCAGGTAGGTTGGTGGACATTCACAGAGGGCAATAAAGAGCTTTAGCTGGATGGATGGAGGGAATAAGCGTTTATTAGGCATCTGCTCTGTCAGGTACTGTCTTAAATGCTTTGCAAATATTG